AGAACTACTGTCAGTGATCAGTCTGCATATAGAGATATTTTTTTTATCTTCATACTTCTCTTGAGATGCATAAAAACACTCAGCCCGCACGTAAAATTAAATAGCAGTTTCAGCAATTATAAAGAATTAAAATTTAAAGAAAACTTGGAATCATCCACTTTACTAAATATATTTTCTGCCATGGTTCTGTATTGTTCAAAGGCACCTTGAAAGATGAAATTCTTGAAAATCCACCTACTTTCTCTCTAAGAGTTTCAGATATATATTTTCTTTTGTTGTGCTTGACTTTCCATCATAGGGCTACAAATACAGTCAAGCCATGATTTGTATGCATTGAAAAGTAGGCTCGGCACAAATACATTTCAATGTCATTTGCGGCTCTCCTAGCTGCCCTTATTGAGATTATCTAGATCAGGGGTGTCAAACTCAAGGGCCGGGGGCCAGATCCGGCCCACGGGGTGATTAGATCTGGCCCACAGGGCCACCCTGGAAACAGCGAAAGACTGGCCTGCGGTGCCTCTGCCAGCAAAAACAGAACTCGGGTGGGCTGCACACAGCCCTCTTGAGTTCTGTTTTCATTGGCAGAGGGTTACTTACAGGAGGCCGTTGCAGCCGAAAACGGAGCTCAGGAGCCTGTTTTCTCTGGCAGAGGGCTCGGGCCACCACAGGCACCCCGACACGAGTGATATTGAGCTGACCACACCCACTCTGGCCACGCCCACTCTGGCCCTCTGAGGTAAAATGCAATCCTGATGCAGCCTTCAATGAAATCGAGTTTGGCATCCCTGATCGAGATCCTGTAGGCAGAATGTTAAGTAACTATTCCCTTGCTTTCAACATATTATTTAGATATCTGGATGTGTCAGATTAAAGAACAAAAAGTAATGAATGTAATAATATAGATTTGGTAGAAGCGAAGTTTGTGAAGATAGAAGTGGATCTAATGTGAATAGTATAAAGTGGTTTTATTTTACATACCCACATACCCCCTTTTATGCTTTTAATTACTTTGGCTTATTGTTCGTTATCCTTTTTTGCACTTTGCATAACACTGCTTATCCCAAGAGGACATAATGTAATTGGTGTACATGGATGTAAGTTGCACAATTTTTATTTTATCAGAGTCCACCTTTGTTGAGTTGTTGCTGCTTTAGATTTCTTCAAGTTGGTTTCCAGAAAAATAAATATGTTAACATAACCTTCCTCAACTTATATTCTTCAGATGTGATGGATTATAGTCTTCCTCCTTCTCCATCACTAGCCTGACAACTGTATTATGAGAGCTTTATTCCTACTTCTAATAAGAGCATGAGATTGGAATAGCCTGTGCTACCATAATAAGAGGATTAAAAAAAAGAATTTAAATTAGGTAGAGTCACACGTGTGCCCCTCATTTTAATGAAAATAAGCACCTATGGATCACGGCAGTGGTGGGATTCAACATTTTTTACTATCGATTCTGTGGGTGTGGCAGGGAAAGGATACTATAAAATCTCCATTCCCTCCCCACTCCTGGGGGAAAGTTACTTCAAAATTCCATTCCCTTCCCACCACACTAACCTGCTTTCCAGCTCCGTTCTCCTCTGCAGGGCAACAAAAGAAGACCCAGCCAATCAGCTGGGACTCAGGAGGCAGAGAATAGATCAGGGTGGGGCCAGTCAGAGGTAGTATTTGCGGGTTCTCCAAACTACTCAAACTTTCTGCTACTGGTTCTCCAGAACTGGTCAGAACCTGCTGAATACCACCTCTGGATCACAATTATTCTCCCAACACATTTGGAGGGCACTCATCTGGGACATGTTGGCTGACTGGCCTACTAATAACATATGTACTAAGGAAGCCTTGGAAAAGATGATATTAATTGCCTAATCAGAGCAGAGTCTGACCATCCCTTTACTTCTCCAAATCTGCTCGTTGCCTGGGAACAATAAGACGATTACTTCTGAAACACATGTGCCAAAACTCTGAGAATTTAATAAATAAGCCAAAATACAACCATTGACATTGATTGATTGATTGATTTCTAGAGCCTCTCGGTCAAAATGTGACTCTGTTTTGAGAGTGTGGGAAATGGTTTTTCTAATAGCAATAGCACTTAGACTTATATACTGCTTCCTGTAGTGTCCCCCAACAATCTGGCTCCTCATTTTACTTACCTCAGAAGGATGGAAGGCTGAGTCAACCTTGAGCCAGTCAGGATTGAACTACTGGCAATTGGCAAAATTAGCCTGCAATACTCTATTCTATCCACTGTGTCACCGTGGGTATTTAATAGCAGAACATATCATAGCATGATGTTGTCAAAAACCAAACATTACAATATCTTTTAACTTGCCCCTTCTTTATGTTTCTTATGATCCACCCTTTATTTCTCCATTTAATATTTCTCGGCAATCAGAAAATCAACAGGATTTCCATTTGCATTCCTACTGCCTTGTGAATTAATTCCTTTATATTGTTCTTAAACTTAAATTGGACTGTAAGAAAACATTGAATTGAAATTATTGAATAGCATCTCATTAGAGATTCCAAGATAGGAATAATTATTTACAAATCACACTGGATGGGTTTACACAATAAATTAGGCCCGAGCAAACCATATCATAACTTAACGTACTGTGCAAACCCAACATTTTAATTTTTCTAGCTCCAGCCAACAAACAGTACAGTAAGCAAAGCAAAACCCTCATAGCCAATCTTATAGAAAATGCAAGAGATCTGTCACTACCAAATTAAATAAATCTACTGACATAAACATACTTCACAGAAAATTCTATTCAGTGCCTGCATCTTGCAATAGAATTAAGGACAACAAATAGAAACAAAATGTGGACTTGGATTCATTCATTTTTTGCTGGCTTCCAGTGTTATCTAAATTCGTGTGTGTACGTACGTACGTGTGTGTGTGTGTGTGTGTGTGTGTATGTGTGTTTCATAACAAGGATTGGTGGTCTTTCATTATATTTCATTTAATAAAGACCAACTCCTATCATTTATATCAATGTAGCAAAGGTGTAGCAATGTAGCAAATATTTGTATTCCATTGATGAGGCCATAAATGAAATACAAGAAGTCATGGCAAGTTGATGCTCCTCTCCTGCTTAGCAGGACTAGAATCCCTCTTTGTTATTCAGAGATTTTGGAAGTCTTTTGAAATACATTACAAGTGCTGCCAAAATATGGCAGCTACTCTATAGCTTTTAAAAGCATTAGAGTCTGTCTCCAAGATAATGGCTCAGTGGAGATGTTCAGATGGAAATTGACTTTTTCTTCTAATATGTTTCCTGCCCAGATTAAATGTGCTTCCTTTCTCTTTCCAAAGCTTTACTATCATTAATAGGAATGAGGGAAAGAGACAATTTTCTCCAGGCTAAGCAAGCCCAGTTCTGTCAATTTTTCCTCATAAGTTCAGGACTAGACAACCTGATATTCAAATGTTCTCAACTACAATTTCTAGTCCTTTGTCATTGCTTAGGTTGGCTGGAGTTGGTGGAAATGATTACATGTCAGCAAGTTTTTTTTTCTTCATTATGCTCTCTCCTTAACCTTTATAGAGTGGTTTTAGGTACTAGTATCACTCTATAAAGCCTTAATAAGACTACACCTAGAATACTGCATCCAGTTTTGGTCACCACATTATAAAAAAGATGTTGAGACTCTAGAAAGTGTGCAGAGAAGAGCAACCAGGATGATTAGGGGACTGGAGACTAAAACATAGTCTAGTGAAGAGAAGGACCAAGGGAGACATGATAGCAGTCTTTCAATATTTGAGGGGCTGCCGCAGAGAGGAAGGGATCAAGCTATTTTCTAAAGCACCCAAAAGCCAGCCAAGGAATAATGGATGAAAAGTGAATAAGGAGAGATTCAACCTGGAAATAAGGAGAGACTTTCTGACAGTGAGAACAATCAACCAATGGAACAGCTTGCCCTCGGAAGTTGTGGGAGCGCCATCACTTGAGACTTTCAAGAAGAGAATGGACTCCCATCTGCCAGAAATGGTGTAGGGTCTCCTGCATGGACAGGGGATTGGACTAGATGACCTACAAGGTCCCTTCCAACTCTGATTATCTATTATCTATTATCTATTATCTATTATTATTATGGTCCTTCAGGTCTTCCAATGACGCACCCACCAGTACTGTAACTGAGTCTATTTACTTTGTTTGTTAGTCATCCTCTTCTTCTCTTTCCTTCCACTGTTCCCAGCATTAGAACCTTCTCCAGAGAGTTAAGATACCTTTGCATGAAGTGTCCAAGTAGCATAATTTGGGTTTGGTCATTTGTGCTTTGAGGCCAACTCTGGATTAATTGTTTCCTTGTCTGCCCATCTTCAGGCATCTTCTCCAAGATGGAGGAAATGAAAGGCCAAACAATCTAGAAGGTCCTAAGTTGCCGACTTCTGACATAGGATATGCCTTCAAGCCCCATTATCTCCTGTGCTGCCCTATGGTGGACATATTCCATTTGGTTTAAGAAGATATTTCTAAACTACTGTGCTCAGAACTTGATGTGCTTCCTTACACAGCAAAAGCTCTCCATTTCTTTTTCTAAAGGCATTAACACTTGGTAAAGGTCTGATTACTTCACTTGCAGGATTTCTTAAATGAGGCAAAGATCATAAAGTTTGACTGGATTGCAATATCTCCATAGAAGAACTCGGAATGAATATACAATGTGCTATGCCTATCTCTGTTCAATTATGCCAGGGATCTCTTGTAGAAATCTGATGAAATTACATAAATCAGGGTTCCCCCCAATTTTTCAGAGTAGTTGGAAAAGGTTGCTTGAAAGGGGTTGCAATTTGAAAGGATATGGAGGATACCAAATGAGGGAATACAACTATAAATGATTAGAAATAAATTTACTTCCATAGTTTATTACCCACAGTTTAATTCAGGCCACATCATACTGTTCTTGGTATAATGCACACAACTGCACTAATGAAATCTGTATCTAAGAATAATAAGTGACTGAGTTTTTGACTGCTAGAAATGCACAACTTAAACATTAAGTTCTATTTCATCATATAAAGGGTTAATGTAATAAAGTCTGCTATTTCTGTTTGCCACCTCATCTTGAGTTTCCTCCACAGAATGTCTATTGGCTAAAACCTAGAAGAAAAAAGAGAAAATGCACATGTTGAATGCAATTCCTGAAAACTAATTTGGAAACCTAAATGCTTTGAATAGAAAAGAGCTCTTGCTAAGGTATGATGAATTCATACTATCAGTCCAGTATTTATAGTTGACAAAGTAAACGTAGTCCTTGACTTACAACAAGCTGCTTGGTGACCATTTGGACTTATGAAGGATCCGAAAATGCTACTTATGACCTGGCTTCAAAGTTCTGACATCTCACATCTCTGCAGTTACATGACCACATTTTGGGGGCTCAGCAACTGGCCTGCATTTATGGCTGCATGCAGAGCCCCTGGCCATGTGACTGCAATATACGATTTTGCCAGACGCCAACATTTACTTCTGGTTTCCAACAAAAATCACCCCATAGTGAACAGATAGTTCACTTAATAGCCACCAACGTGTCTACTTAACAACCATTGCATTCGCTTAACCATGCTATATTCACTTAATCATCACTGTGTTTCTTAATGGCCACTATGAAAAAGGTCATAAAATCAGGTTTGGTCACATAGGTGACTCCATTATGACCATCATGACTTACAGCTGAATGCCAGGCTCAATTATGGTCATAATTCAAGGACTACCTGTTCATTTGCTGTGCACATAATGTCCTTTCTACATAAAGAAAACTTGAACTTTATATTTAAACACATTTTATAAATGTGCAATAGAGAGGCAAAGTTGCTTGGGTGACATAAAATCTCTCCTTTATTTTTACAGAAGTGTACTCTAGATAACAAACCAAATATGCTAAAATATAATACTTAATACTTTTAAAGGTGAGGGTTTTTTTGGCTTGGAGGTTTGAACCAGATCAGGATTACAATGGGGTAGTGGGTAAATTCCCCCCTAACCCCACCCCACCTCACTTAGCTAATAGTAAGAGACTACTTAGGCCATCAAGTCCAACTACCTAGTTAGTGCAGGAGTCCAGATTTAACAATTCCAATATGATGGCTGTTTAGCCTTGTGCGAACATATTAATAACATGGAACCCACCACTATATGTACAATTTGTTCCATTGACAAACTTCTTTGATATCAGTCAAAATCTACTTTCCTATAACATCAATCTGTTATTTAATGTCTTGCACTCTGAGAGTAATTCTTCACCTACTTCTATGTCACATTTTTTTCAGGTATTTGAAGACGTCTAGCATAACAATCCAGTCTTCTGGAGCCTAACAATGTCCTTCAATCTTTGCAGACAGCTTAATTTATAGTTTCCTGATCACTCTTCCTTGCACTTTTGTCAGTTTGTCTGAATCCTTCTTAAGATGTACTGCCCAGAATTAAGTGGAATTATTATTTCTTGTGATTTTGATTCTACTTAGCCTTTTTTCCAGCGACATCATGCTACTGACTCAATTTAAATTACATTTCCAGTTTCTACAGTATTAACTAACCTGCCCAATCTTGTGTCATCTGCAAATTTGTAAAGCATTCCCTCCACATAGAAGCCATTAATATACAGAGCTCAGAGCCAAATGTTGTGGCAGTCCATTTAAGATCTCCCTTCTACTTTAGCATTGATAAATATTCTTTGAGCAGTTTTAACCCTAGTACATGTCCATATAATTATTATGCCATCCACCCCATGCTTAACTAACTTACTAATTGGAATGTCATGGTTGTCCTTTGTCAAATGCTTTGTTGAAATCAAGATATATTATCCCACAACATTTCACAATCTACCAAGGAAGTTATCTGATCAAAGCATGAGAAAAGATTAGATTTGGAAGCCTTATTCTGGAGAAATATATAACCTGATATCTAGTATTTACACCTTGTTTCAAGTTACTTACAACTCAATCTTTTTATACTGTAGAACTGACAGGCTGGATAATGGACCCTTATTTTTCCCTTTTCTGAAGATTGAGACAGCATTCATCATTTCGCCAAGATTTCTCTCAAATAATACATAAAGGTTTGGTAGATCACCTGCATGATTTTTCAGTACCCTAGTATGCAGTTTATCTGACACTGAAGATTTAAACTTATTCAAAGTAACATATTCATTTACCATGTTTTTATTAAACTTAAGTTTCCATCTTGCCATTTTGTCCTGCTCTTCAGAATTGCTTGTTGGAATGCACATCATCTTCTCAGAAAAGACTAAGGTGAATTGAGTAGTTCTATTTTTCTTTATTCTTCTCTAATGTTTTGCAAGTTCGCTGCATTTTGATTTAGCTTTTATTTTGAACACATCTGAAGAAGTCCCTTTTGTTCTTAGCATTCTTGTCCAATCTTAACTTATTGTCTTGAGACAAAGGAAGAAGGGCCACACCTGTATAACATCAGTGCTCGTAGGAAGTGGGGTTTGCTCTCTGTACAGGCCATGCCACTGGTATATAAAATGAGAGCAAATCCCACTTCCTACTAGCACTGATGATGTTACCTAGTTTGGTAATGAAATGTCTGCAAGAAAATAACCAAGCCCAGAGGGCACTAAGACTCAGTTCAACCTTGAGCTACAAATATTTTCTTTTATTATTAAAATCAACTTTCTTAAAATAAAAAAATGCACTTTAATCATCTTTAGCTTTAGTTTTCCCTTACAATCAAGAACTTGATTGGTTTCAAGAACTATGATATGGTTTCTTTCCCTTTAGATTACTGCTATTTCAACTTCCAGACTATGTCTACCATATTGGTAGTATCATTGACTTAATGAAAGTGGAGTTATTTGGTCCTACTCTAAGAGATTAACGAAAGGGAAGTGATCTCTTGCAAAAGCCTATATTCAGACACTTCTATTTTATGGCATTCTTTCTCATGGGAGAGCTGCAACATTTCTTCTTCATCAGGCTGAAACCATGTTTATAAACCTAAATTTCTAATTTACTCCTAAATAATAGCACCAATCTATATCTCAAAAACTAAAATTATTGTTTATTATCTGAATAACATTAGCAGGTTTTAGATCAACATCAGCAGACTGGGCATCAGATTTATGACATAAAACAATGTATAAATATTTTTTTTCTATTTTTAATTTCATATCTTTGATGGATATCTCTGTCAGTTAGAAAGCTATGAGATTTAATTTTTTTTTTTTTTGAAAAAAGGGTTTTCCCCTTTTTCCCATGCCAAATTGATTTTAGGAGAAATCCAACACTGCAAATTGGGGAAAAAAATGGTAATATGAAAATATTGGATGGAAGAAGGGATATTGACTTAGAACCAACTGATAAATGATGAAGAGGAAATTTTAGCATACTGCTCCATCACTGGAGGTTTTAAAGAACAGACTGGACAGACACTTGTCCAGAATTATATAGGGTCCCCTGCTTGAGCAGGGAAGGACTAGAAGACCACTAATGATCCTTCCAACTCTGTTCTTGTCTTATTCCAAGTAAAACATAAATATCATCTATTAGATGTAGCCCAATGGCAATATTTACAATTACAACAATTGCTAACAAGATTGTTTGGATCAGCAAACCATCACTTTTTCAGTTTTGGGATACCTGAGATACTAGGACAATTTGTTAAAACCCTATTAATTTTTTATTACCATATTGGTAGATTTGTTACCAATAAATCATTTTGATATGCAGATGTTAAGATATGAGTAGAATAAATCATCTAAACAATGGAAGAGTATATTATCTTCTATAGAAAGACTGTCAATTGATCTCAAATTATGATTTACATAACAAAAAATATTTATAAATTATTTGACTTTATTTTATTTGTATAAAAAAAGGATTGTTAAAACAGCATTTTGTTGGAGATGAAATCTGGATAATGTTTTTTTAAAAATACATTTTACAATGTCCTATACTAACCAAGTTTTGGGAAAAAGTAGTGAACTCTGTAGATATTAGAATGTATGTCTCCTTCCACTCACTGATTGCACTTATCATCTATGAGCAGATTGCTTATAGATGTGGATTTTGTATGGACATGTATGATGAAATATGGGATTTCATACAGAATATACAATAGGTTAAAATAGCTTTATTAAACCTATCAGAAATTTATATGTCTTGATCAATATTGCCTTAGGAAAATATATATAGAATTGTAACTGTTTATCATTATAATGACATGTTATTTTTGTTGTATTTTTCCACTTTTTGTTATAGTACTTTTAATGTGTTTTAATAATGTATGTATTGTATCACTATTATTTTTGTATTCTGCTGTTTTTTTCTTTTCTTTTTTATTAATTAAATAGCAACAATAATAACTTCACAGCCTTTTTGCTTTAAATGATACTTTAAAAATATTTTAAAATTGCAATTCTGGGATGGAGTTGGGCAGAGGAACAACTGGGTAATTTTGGCACCCTATTCCAATAAGATATTTTTATATTAGATGCCCTTATCCCATTCCTACAGATTCACTTTTGAGACAAGGTATATTGAGTGGATTGGCATAGATCAATTGGGAATGTATTCCAGCCTTTGCAGTTGTATACTGCATATGTTTTTTCTCCCACTGATTTCAGTACAACAGGGAAACTATCAGAGTAAAGTAAAGTTGGAAAAATGTTGATCACCCACATTTAGTGTTGCCAGTGCAAATACAGGAGGGATAATATGGGTGGTTGTTTTTTGTTTGTTTGTTTGTTTTGTTTTGTTTTGAGTTCTGGAAGTTCCTGTCACACTGGTGGAGGTGTATTGTTCATACATACATAAATATATAGAAAATTGAGCTCTTACACTTGGGTAACTTGGTGTGTCAAACATGGGATTATCAAACCCTTCCTCAGTTGTCCCACCAAAATCTTCTTGATCCCTTTTTTGGTTCCACACAGAGGAAAGATTCAGAGAGGAGAGAGATCTGTGAAAATAGAAATAATAGAACGTTAACGAAGACAATTTTATTTGATTTCTTAAGAAGACTCACTGAGATCCACTGAATTTGGTAAATTATCAGAACTTGAAAACTGGCCAAAAAAAGAAGCCACCCTAATATCAGCAATCTTTGTAACAGATGTGTGAGCTAACATAATAATATACAAGAAAAGTAAAATGAACTCTCAAAGTATACTTTGGTATTTACAGGGCATTTATGCTGCACAAGAATTGATGTCACTGTGATCTAAATTTACTTTAGAACTGCAGTTCAGGCTGGATCAATAAGAACATGTATTTGACTATATAAAGATACTGAGTGATTTCTACAACACACCCATTTAGAGGAAAGGAAAAGACTGGTAATAGGTTTCCAAGATACAGTGAAATTGACATGTGAGAGACATATAGCAGATTCGATAGTATATTGTCTTCCTTATGACCATAACTTTTTGCAAGATGGCCTCTCTTTGATTTGACTGCTTCATCCCCTGGGAAATGCCATGTTTTGGGTAGCTGCCATGAAAAAATGCCTCCTAATGGGACTCCGTAGATGAGCCTTTTTTTGCCACACACAGCACATCTTTTGGAACAGATAAAGGTGGCTTTCAAAACCTGTTTTTTCCTCCAGTCACTCGGCTAGGCTATTGGAGGAGCCCATCTGGGAAATGATTTAGGAATGTGAACATGCTGTGATATGGCTTTGGTTGTGTTGAATGACAGCGTGTTTCTATGACGTTTATGCTGTTTGGTTATTTTATTTTGTGTTTTTTAATTCTAAGTTAGCCATTCAATTTCCCTTAGGTGGCCATATATGCATTGCCTAAACTAACAAACAAATATATTTAGCGTGCCATCTCCAATGCTGTGGAATATGCAGGCCTATCAGTATCAATTTATAATTACTTTTGGAACTGCAATTGAATGATAGCTCCATATTGTTCTTTATCCAAGGCAATATAATTGGGCTGTCCCTGAGGTAATAGTTATAATGGCTGTTTATAAAGTAGTCAATGGAAACATTGCAGATTAATTGATTGATTCATTGATTCATTTATACACATACATTTTGCAATAAATCACACAAGAAACAAGCAGTGACAAAGCATGTAAGCAAGATTAAGCAGAGCATATTTAATACCTCAGAAGGAACTCAAGTGCAATACCTACCTTTTACAATCCCAAATACTTCTATTATATCCTTGCACTCTCACCCACAAGGGAATACATAGATGCTTTGCCCTCAATGCTGTTGACCAGAAGATTCAATAATATTTCCTATCCAGAATACATGTGCATATAAATCAGTCCTATCTATCATTCTTGGATGACAGAGTTAATCATTCTTCTAATCACAAATTATCAGCCCTGATCTCAACAGGCAATTGGGTGTTTCTCATTAAATAACCAGGATCATAAAGCAAGAGAGTGAGAAGACAATATAGGTATAATACATGTAACTCCTAGTGTGAATAAATCTTTTTTTTAAATCTCAGGTATTTGAATTTTGCTTTTTTGTTTACTTTGGTCTGTGACTAAATTATTTCCTGCTCCTCCTCCTCCTCCTCCTCCTCCTCCTCCTCCTCCTCCTCCTCTCCATCACAATCACCATCAAATACATCAGTCATCAAACACCTAAGCAAATGATGATTCACAAGGGCCACACAAAATAGTCCACCTATGTAATTAAGGAGGTTGTCTTTTGATTGTTAACCTCCTCACCTTGGTGGGGGGGGAGGGGGGGAGGCCTGAGCAGAAATCCTCCAAAAATCATGTTTGATGGTGATATAAGAAGCTGAACTCCTTTTATTCCCTACAGCTGCATAAAATCACTGTTATTCCTTTTAAGATGACCTCAGTCACCCTGAAAGATGCATAATAAATTTGATCCCATCTTTAAACTCTCATTATAAGTTTGTGTGACTGTTCAGGAAGCTGCTCCTGGCTGTCTCTGCATTCAAGAAAGGAGCTTTCTCCTTGCATATTTCAAATCCTCTTGTGATGGATTAGCACAGCCCTCTTATTTATAACAGGCACCACATGAAACAGATGTAATCAAAACCGTCTCTTTGTAACGGTTCCATTTCAAATGGGATTCTGAAATTTAGTTCTCAGAAGAGCTGCTCTCTTGAAATTCCTATACATATATCTATTCCCCATGGGAAATAGCTGGGCTATTTCCTCTTAATATATGAAGGAAGAAGCAAGTGACTTTTTGACATGTCCTTCTGGTAGCAGAAGGAGCTACAAATCATGCCCATGCATATTTTGCAGATTTAATTTTTTTTGTTCTGAGCTGTGGAAAGTATTCCAAGGAGACTCATCTCCAGAGACATAATATTGCTTATGGGCTTCCAGATTATTTGCTCAAAGCTGTCCTCTTTAACAAGGCATTTCCCCCCCAGGAGCGATTTGACTTGAAGATGTTATCTATTTTCTCTGCCCGCTCTTGTTGGTTGTTCTTTTCAGTGTTGTATTGGCCTTTATTATTAGACGATGGCTAAAATAATTTGGGCTAAGTTATTTTAATTTTGTACTGATATAAATACTGTTTGCTACCTTGAGTGGTGCATATGCATTAGAAAGGCAGGAGGCAAAATTTCATATTTTTAAATAAAGCAAAGTATTAAGCCTTGTTGGCTTCATTTTATGTATCGGTTATTATACGGAATCATATTTTCATGCAATTTGATCTTGGCAGTCTCGGGTTTGTTTTAAAAAAGCACCATGAATCGCTCCCCCCTTCCGATTTCCACCCTTCATGGAGGCTATTGTTGTTTTTCCTCAGTGTGGCTGCCAATTGGGGGATGGGGATGAGGAGAACGAACATCTCTGTTGCCTAGGCAACCAGGCCAATGCTCCCTTGGATCTCCAAATGTGCACCCCCATAAAAATAATGGTGTGCCAAGCCATGGAATTTCAGTGCAGATGTTATTACTTCTCACATTATACCAAGAAGTTAGATGTGTTAACTCTTAGTCCGTGTGTAGTTACACTATGAATTCTATCCAATCTAAGCTTCTATTTTGTCCTGGAATGAGCTATGGAGCCAAATGTTTGGTAGACTGCTGGGAAAAAGAATCACATTCCTAAAGGATGGCAGAGTGTCAGAGCTTAGTCTTTATACATGGAGCATCATTCCTGATTAACATTGAGAAGGTGTTATTTTTCCTCCACTGGTCAAGTCCAGTATTTCTCATCCTTGCCAGCTTTACTATATGTGGACCACCCAGAACTCCTCAACTTGCATTCCAGCTAGGGAATTCTGGGAGTTGACACCCACAGATTTAAAGCTGCCAAGATTGAGAAACATTGAGTTAGACTGAACAAAAGTGCTCCCAAAGAAAAAAGAAGCATAATCCTAAGCTTAGCTGGGAAAAAGTCATTCATTGCTAAAGCTTTCCTTCTTTTGAGAGGGATGAATTGGTCAAAATATTGGCTGATGGGACCAGCAATTCCATCCATCTCAGTTCTCCTTGTACCAGCAAGCAAAGATATTTTTATTCAGACAGGCCCTTTGGCATATGAGCTGCTTTGACTGCTGAGCCAGCTGAGTATGAAGGTTTTTCCTTTTGATCTCACTTTTCTTGTTACTAACAGCTGCTGGGAGCTCTATTTTGGGGAAGGAAAGGTTTTGTTTATAAAAAATTAATGTACTGAATTCATAAATTATAATTTTTGTTTTAAAATCAAACAAAAGCCAACCAGGTAAATAGAAATATCATTTTATACAGCAGCCCTACATGATGCTTATAATATATCTTCTTCTATTTGTCTTCTATATTAATACTGTAAGTATGCAATTTAAATTTATGTTGTCTGAAGGGGCTCCTTGAGGTTTTCCTTCATTCCAGGAGATCACTTTACTCCATTCTCCTGAGCCTTTTACCTCCAGATGTTCTAGTATTGTTCGTCTCTATCCAGGATGTCTTTTGATTAGGAACATAAAAGCTGAAGCCCCAGCTTTCCCAGTTACCTAGTAAGAGAAGACTGAAAATTGGCCCATTCTCATTATCGTCTCAAAGCCATTCTTCGTGCTGTTTTAAACCCCATAATGACTTTGAATCTATTTTTCTATTTCTCTAATCCTGCCTATGTTACAAGTCAATTCCAAGGTTTTAGTTTAACCTGACAGATCTCTAAAGCAACTCGTGATCAAAGTCTAATTTTTGGTTCTAGGTTTGGAATTCTCCATTCACTTTCTTGAGGTTTCTTAAAAAAATCCAAAAGTCCAAAAAATTTCTTCTAAAGATGTGATATGTGTATTTTTTGCATTAATATTAAGCCAAATGTTTTAAAAAGATGGTTCAGCTGAGATTTCCAGTCCATCTTTCCTAGGATCCCACATGATTCCACTGAAGTTTAGTTTCCAGAATTCCTCCAAGCAGTGTACAGTTGTAACAGCAATCTTCCTTTTGTGTTACTTGCCCAAGGAACCCATTCTTAGATTATTATTTATAATTTTTATCCTGGGATAGGAGTGCCATCAGCTAAAGAAACATTTCTGTTGTTGAACTAATTGACTGTCTTTCACTGACTCATCGCATGACCACATTCCAGAGCAGGTTGACCAAGCCTAGTATCATAAAACCCTTTAAAGCCAAATCCCTATCTCAAATGTTACAAAACTCCCAGTTCAGATTCCTAGGATGCTATTCTTACTGTATTTCAGATTCAGCACTCAATTTAGTAATTGGGATGATCCTAAATAAATCTTTCAGATAGAATTTGCATAGCTAAACACTGGAAAGATATAATTTTGATGTTGGAGCACTAGTACTAGAATGTTTAGCATATTGCTATAGCTGAGAAATTGCTTACATTCCTCAGCTGTGTTTGAGTCAACCTACAGTTAAAGCCTTTGCAAGTATATGGTCTGGTTTTGTATCTTATGCTATCCATGGGGACTATAATGGTTTCATGCCAGATTAATATGGGAGAAATATTAAAGAATTATTAATATGTGATTTTATGACTTGCTTTTCTTGTCTTCCTTTTTAACCCTTATATGTATGTGCATGTGTGTATAGTGTATGTATGTATTGTAATATCTTTATAAATAAAAAGATATTTAAAAATATTGGCAGAATATAAACAAAAAAACATTAACATTAGCAAATTACCTATTCACTATTAATTATCCAACACAATGCAAAACTCTCTCCTTAGCCCACCTCTACATGATATTAGAAGGATGATATAATAATGCTTTTTTTATCCCTATGGCTTGAAGGAACCTGAGCCCTTAGTCCATGTATTCCATCAATTCCCTTCGACATCAGCTTAGGCCCTGCCCTGATAACTCCACCTACAAAAGAAGCTACATCTGTTCTGAGTATGATTTCATTTTCCTTTTACTGTCAAACCAGAATCTTGACATCTTCAGAAGAGTTGTAAATAGTCTTTCCACTGCTATTGCTTTATGCAGGAAAATACTCTTCTAATTTTAGGATCTTATAAACATACAAAGTTGTATTACAATCTAATCAATTTGTTTTAAGTATTTAAATGCTATAAGATTCTACTATTTTTTATTTATAGTGCTTTGTGGGTAGAATCAGTCTATTTATTTCTATAATTAATCCATGTTTTGGGGACTTATAAATGTTAACACAAATAGTACAAAATCCTGGTCAGCTATCATAACAAAGAAACTAGAGCAGTTTGAAAAGATAGAAAGTACTATCCCAGGATAATTGATTTTCAAAAAGGACATAGACTAGGTCATTTAAAAGAGGTGGGGCACCTCTGGTTGGAGCACTGCCTTTGATGCAGGAGAACAAGTTTCAAGTTCTGGCTGGTACTTAGCTTACCAGTAGGGTTCATTGGGAAAAGACCTTTTAATGCTTCACCTGCCTACATCAAATAAAAGAGTGACATGAACCAGGAGACTCATATCAATTTACTTATCACCCAGATCTCTACAGTAAGCCTTCTAATGTTAAAACACTATCTATACAGATCTAAATTGCTATCATGTTACATTGCCACACCATGCCAGAGCTGCAATAGTAAAGGAACAAGCATTCAACACATGAGCAGCTGATTAGCACTTGGTACAGCAGCTACAAAGGCTCTGGAAAAGATATTCAAATGCTATGTACCTGTCCGATCATAATTGTTCATTGGTATGCTTGTGACATTCTACAGAAGTAAAAACTGAACTTTTAAGAAGCAGGAAAAGGTAGAATATCAATGTTTTTGGTGAATATCATGAACAGCCAAGAAAACAAACCAATGGAGCATCAAACCTATCATCTCAAAATCCTCACTTGAAACATAGATGTCCAGGCTCAAATTATCCTGCTTAATAGCATTATGCAAAGACCTAGTTCTTTGGAGAAGCTTCTAATATTGGGAAAGATACAAGGAAAGAGAAGAGAAAGATGACCAGGAGCAAGATGGCTGGGCTCAGTTATAAAGTCACCACTGGAAAACCTGAAAGATGAAGTTAAGGACAGATTGTCATGGAGAAAATCTATTTATGTGGTTGCTAAAACTCAATAGCCCCTGATGACTCATAATCAAACTATAATAAATGTATATTAGGAAACAGGCTAAATTTCTGAATCTTTGAAGAATGCTAGAATAGAGGTAAAGTAGCATCATTAAATACTTTCATGGAGCAACTATCTTGTGTCATCTTTTTTAAGGTGGATGATAACATACTAAATAAAATTGAGAAACACTACTTTGATGTAGCTGGAGAACTCCCAGCAACACTTGTAAGGACTTTTGCATTAGGAGATGATAAACCTAGGAAAACCTAGGAGTGAGACTTTATGGTGTGCCACAAAGATCAGTAATCTCTCCATTCTGTTTTAACACCTATATGAAGTTGCAAAGTGAGAGGTTCTGACACATCATGGGATGAGGTATCATCAGTACATCAATGATACTTAACTGTATACAATATGTCCATCCCAGATACTGTACAGTGTGACTGTTATTGCTATTTCTCAGTGCCTGGAGGCTGTGAGGTGTCTGGATGGGGGACAATAGGCTTTAACTGAACCTTGACAAGATTGAGTGGGTATGGATATGTGGAGTCTTGGGATAGGGCAATTTAACATCCTTAGTTCTGGATGGAATTGCACTTTCCCAGGCTGATCCCATATACTTCTAGACTCATGAATCCTGCTTGAAAAACAGATGGCAGTTGTGATTAGGAGAGCCTTTGCACAACCATGTTGTACACCAGTTGCACCTTTTCCTGGCTTGTGAAGCTTTGCATTCAGTCATTCATGTCCTGGTCATCTTGTACTTGGACCACTATAATGCGCTGTACATGAGGTTACCTTTGAAGAATATTTGGAAGCTTCAGCTGGCACAAAATGCATCAGCACAAACAGTTTTAGGTGTCCCAGATAACCTCTGTTGTGCAAATTGTACTCGCTGCTGGTTTGCTTCTGGATCAGTGGCGGTATTCTACCAGTTTGGCCCGGTTCTGCTGAGCCAGTAGCGGCGATAAGCAGCAGAGACCAAACCAGTTCTTTCCAACACTCTGCTGTTAGGCCCACCCACCTGCCCAGGCTCCCAGGCTCACCTTTATCCTCTGAATTTGAAGCGTAGCTGCTTTGCTGCGTGGCAGCTGCTGAAGCGACTGGGAGAGTGCAGGCTTGCAGGAGGTGAGTTAGAAAACCTCTGCACCTGTGCAAAGTGCATGTTTGGCACAAGTATGCATGCAAAGTATGTGCACACGTGCAAAGCACGCCCACCACACCATGCCCACCGAACCAGTGGTAAAAATATTTGAATCCCACCACTGTTCTGGATCCAATTCAAGGTGTGGGTTATCAACTTTAAAGCCCTTCATGGCCTGGGTCAAGGCTCTCTGAAGAAGTGTCTCAACCCAATTGGTTTGACCTGCCCCACTTGTGGTGGCAGAAGCAGCATGCTGCAGATTTCATCGACTAAGGAATTGCAGGTGATGAAGCCCAAGGAAAGGCCTTGTCCGTTATGGCTCCTGCCCCTTGGAGCATCATTGCCCTAGAAGTGAATCTGCCCCCATCCTCTTGGCCTTTGATAAGGGCCTAAAACCTTGGCTGTGTCAACTGGCTTGGGGTGTCCCATTCTTGAGGTGGCTAGAAATTTAATAAGATAAAATCCCACTTTATACACTGATTCTTTGTTTAACTTATTGTTAATGTTAACTTTCAATTTTAAGACTTGATATTGTAATGTTTCTATTGTAATTGTGTATATTGCTTTTATAATATTGTAAGCCACCCAGAGTCACTCAGTGATGAGATGGGTGGCATACACATTTAATAAATATAGATAGATGAGAGGGGGGGGGAGAGGGAGAGAGAGCGAGAGAGGGAGGGAAGGAGGGAGGGAGGGAGAGATGATAGATAAACAAATATGTTAATGGACAATATTCAGATCTCATTTTCTCTCTAACAATCATGTTCTGCATTCAGGATTTTTAAACATAGAAAAAAGATTACACAAATTTATTCATACCATATTTACCCAAAATAAGATATTACAGCATACCATGTATCTATTACCTTAATGCATCATTTTTATAAAGAAGAAGACTAATTCCCAGAAAAAGCAGGAGAAGGAAGATTCCTATGACAATCCCAGTGACCGTAGGGCCAAGATAGCTGCTGATTCCTTGAGCACTCCAGTTGTTACCAGTGGCTACTTGTAGGTTGGCTGTCACAATGCCAAAGAATTTTCCTGGAAAATAATCAAATGTTACATGTCATTGTAATTGCAGGAAGTAGCTTGTTTTCTGTTAGGTAGGACATAGCTCTCTTCCAGCATGTTTCTCTAGCTGATTTCCTCATTGCAGAAAGCATTGTGGCCACCAGCAAGTAACAATTATCCCCAAAGAGAGCAAATGAAAGCAGCAACCAACCTCCTCATCTTTCTCTGTTTCCATTTTTACTGCTGCAATGCACTTTCCCCAGATTTGGAAAAAAGAAACACTTGTGGGATTGTTAACCCATGCACAACACAAGCTCATGTTTATTCAGTTGTGTCCAATAATTTTGGAAAGTATATAAGTCTATATAGTGTATAAAATACAGAATTATAAAAGCCAATGAATGTACTATAATATGAACGCTTATAAATTAAAACAGTAGAAATAATACTATACATATTAAGAGCTTTTGAAGATCTTAGGAGAATTTCAGGAAGGAACCATCGTGGTAAGAGTATACATTTGGCAAGAAAAGGGACTCAAATTTGAACTCTGGAATCTGCTGCTAGATGGATGAGGTAACAAATAATAGAAAAGACCTTGATCTGGGACTTTGAAAACCTCCTTTCATTCAAGGCAAACAATATTGGATTGAATAGTAGAAAAAAAGTCTAACTTGGAATTAGACAAGTCCTTCAGAACTGGTACCAGTCCGTAGCGTGTTTGGCAAGTGGTGGCTGAGAGCAGGAAGCTCCATTTGCGCAACACAGCCAACAACCCAGGATATTACAGCACAAGACCCAGCACAATAGAACTCAGAAGGTCATCACACAGCCCATGACCCAGGTCATTACAACCCAGAAGATTACAGCACAAGACCCAGGATGTCAATACAATAGAACTCAGAAGGTCATCACACACAGCCCATTACCCAGGTCATTACAACACAGGAGGCTGATAGACACACAGCCAATACCTCAGCCACACATGTTCTTATGAAAAAGCCAGCCAATCTGCAAACATCAACTGCATCAACCAATCAAGAAATAACAACACAGCCAACCTCCCCACCAGTATATATAGGGAGATGGCAGCTCCAATGACGCTTTGCTTGCACAAGCACAAAGCTGAAAGCACCAGCCTGAAGATGGCAAGTGGGACCTCATTGAAACGTTGCCAAGTTGCTCTCAATCTCACATGGGAAAAGACCCAAACATGCCATGACCTGCATACCTGTATCCATAAAAATCTACAAATATATTAGAAAACCAAGGAGTTTATGAAATACCATGCAACAATTGCCCAGCCACATACATTGGACAAACCAACAGGAGAATAAATGCACGCATCGCAGAACACAAAAACGCAGTCAGAAAAGAATAAAATACTTCGTCCCTCTTCCAGCACCTTAAAGCCACAGGACATGAAATTAATTTCGAAGGAAGCAAATTGATATCCAACACTGAACACTCCAGCAAGAGAATAATCAGGGAAGCCATCGAAATAGAGAAACACCCCCATAATATGAATAAACGGGATGATACCTCCCGCCTACCAGACATCTGGAAACTAGCCCTCACCAACAAATGAGTCCCAGACACGAAAATCAACACCAGACCCAAAACAACATGGGACACCACCGGCAATCTCCCTCATCAGACCCAGGCCCAAACCCATCCTATAAATGAAGGACAACCACCATCCAGAAACCAGACCACGGCTGCTTCGCCAGCTGTCGCACCCCTGACCCTAAAACCAAACAAGCTGACACATGCCAAGAACACAGACCCAGACCCCAAACTTGAAGCCTGACCAAAACCCAGAATGCTATATCACAGCAACCCGCTCAGGATATCACATCGGAAAACTCAGGAAATTACACCACAAGAACACAAGAAGTTGCAACACAGCAAACAACCCAGGAAATCACAGCACAAGACCAAGGATACCACAGCAATAAAACTCACAAGGTCACCACACAACCCATTACCCAAGCCGTTACAACACAGGAGGCTAATGGAAAAGAGATCAAAACACAAATGACCCAGGAGATTAAAGCACAAGATCCAGGATATCTCCACAACCAAACCCACAAGGCCATCACACAGGCCATTATACCAACAACAACTCCATCAACCAATCAAGAGGCAGCAGCACAGCCAACCAGCCCAGCACACCAGC